TATATATGAGCAATCGATCCGAGAGTATAATCATTTGTATTTCTTTAAAAAAAATGACCTCGTCCATTCCTCTAATGGGTGCTACAACACAGGAAATTGCAAGGCCACCAGATAATGCTAATTCCGGGTCAAGCCCATCAATTGTAAATGGGTAAATCCATCAATTGTATCATCACTAGCAAACATTCGAGGTTTATTCTATGAAAGATTAAATATGGAAAAAAAAGCAAAGAATACACAAAGTATAACAATACATCGATATGATGAAATTATATCCAAATTAAAAGGTTTTAATACAGGTGTTAAGCGTTCGACACCTGATGTATTTATGGACGATTTGAATTATACATGGTTGGGAACAATTAATGAAAAAAAGACGTCCAGATGAACAAGATATTAAAATTCTTGTACATGATGAACAATTATTTGATTGTATCAATGATGGTAAATGTTCTATAAGTTAAGTTCTTTGTCTGATGTGTGGTGTTTTTTGATTAGAACATTGTCGAATTGATCATGGTGGGAGAACGCGAACATTCAAAGAAATTCAAAAAAAGTATTCTAATATAACAAAACAACAAGTCGAGATATATTTATCAGTTTGTGAAATATGTCAGCAAAAATGTGATATGACCAAAAAAATATTGTTGTAAAATATATTCGCAGTTATCAGGTTTTAAGTCGAACTCGTGTTTCGCTCATTTCTGGTCTTCATGCATAAGCTTTCATCAAACACATGTGTGATCTGTTTGTGTTGTAGGTTGATTTAATTGATTTTCAGTCAAAGCCTGATGGTGAATATAAATTTTTGATGAATTATCAAGATCATTTTAATAAATTTACTGTACTTCGACCATTGAAAAACAAAACGGCAGTAGAAGTTGGACGTGAATTGGTTAATATCTTTTCTCTTTTTGGTGCACCAACAATTCTCCAGTCAGATAATGGTCGTGAGTTTGTAAATCATATAATTGATTCACTTGCTGAACTTTGGCCTGGCTTAAAAATAGTTCACGAGAAACCGCGTCATCCCCAAAGTCAGGGAAGTGTGGAAAAATGTAACCATGATATTGAAACCAAATTAACGGTGTGGATGCAAGAACATCGAAATGCAAAATGGACTGAAGGTATATCTGGTGTTGTGGCGATAGATTTTCTAAAGGATGCTTTTTTTTAGGAGTACCAATAGCTATGTATCAGAAAAATACATCATTTCATTCACGTCTTAAAATGACACCTTATGAAGCATTTTTTGGCCGAGCTGCAAGTCTTGGCTTAAGTGATTCTGTTATGCCACAGCAAGCATGGAATGCTATTGAAAATGAAGATGAGCTTCAAGAATTGTTAGATGAATAAGATTTCGGTAATGTAAGTCTTCACATCCATGAACAGCAGCTATGCAACTCTTTTTTACTTATAATATTACTTGCACCTTTAGCACCTCAAAGATGATGATACAAATGAAAATTGTCCTGTCGAAGCTGGTGATAATCAACCATCATCCGATATAACAACAAATCCATCATTAACTGTACAAGCAAAGTCAATTGACAAAACTAATATATGTTGCATATGTGAATTTGAGATTATATTTTCAACAGTGCATTGTTCGGTAGGACCCCAATACATAAGTATAAACTTGTATTTCACATTTGGAATATACGGCTAATATATGGTATACGCTAAACAGACTTGTGAGATATTATGATTTCAAAATCGTTCTGTCACCCATGACTTAGTTAGCAATCTTCATATAAATCCTCGAAAATCTCTTTAATATAACTATTTCTAATTGAGGAGTGTGATGCACCATGCCACACTGGGTGTACAACAACAGCCAATTTAAAGCACTTGTGCGTTAGGTGCCATCATAAAGTAGCCAGTGAATCAACACGTTCAGTTGTTGATGCAAATCAAGAAGCATCTGCTGCTAAAATGATTGATGATAGTGATCGTCATTTGCCACTTGTTACACTCGGCGACAATGTCAGAGTTCCAGTGCCATTAATGGATAGATCTCGTGCTGATCCACCAAATGTTCTAGGTTTGATTATCACAGAAATCAATGGAATGTATAAAATTGGTTGTAGAGGTGGAACAATTAAGCGTCTCTATGCTCATAATCAATTTAAAAAATATGATTCAAAAATATTAAAAATAGTTGATATTGACCTTGAAGGACGCAGTTTGAGAAATATTGTTGAAAATGAATGTGTTCTTGGTGGACAAAAAAATTCTTAAATGTAATTGCAAGAAAGGTTGTTTAGCATCTTCATGTATTCGTAGAAAAAATAAACAAATTTGTAATTCGCGTTGTCATATTAATATTACTTGTAAAAAAGTTAGTTGTGATAATAAAAATTGAAGTTAAATAACATTCATTTTACATCTATAGATCTTATACTAATATCTGTATAATTTTCTAATAAAAAGTTTATTAAAAAAAAACGATTTTGATTAATTTTCGAAAAAGGCTGGCCATTATTGAAAGTTGTGGGCCAACTATTTCTGGCCACTTTGTATATTGACCGGTCCATTTCATACTGGCTGGTCCATTTGCATATTGGCCAAGAAAATTGTGGCCAATTTACAAACAGGCAATAAGATAGGATCTATTTATAAAGTGGCCGGCCATTTTATAAACGGACCAATTTTCCAAATTGGCCACAACACATACATATAGTGACCAGTGAGTGTGACGAGTGTGTGATCCAAATTTTATCTGTTCTTTTAGTTTTCCTTTATTAAAGTTCTAAACCAAAAACCAGATTCGAACTTCTATACCTTTGAACAAGCAGAGATTATTAAAATCTGTCCAACAAAGGCTCACTACAAAACAAAATTAGAGCGCGTTAATGGCAGCATCAGACACAGCCATAGCATAAACAAACGAAGATATTCTTCTTCATTATACGTCCGTACAAACTCCCCCAAAATTGAATTTTTTCCCACTGATTCTGAAGGCTACAGGTTTTCCGGAAAGGCAGAAGGAAGAATACCGCGCCTTGCGGCTACCTTGCCGTGTAGGGTGCTGCCGAAGCAGTTTCGATACGACCGATATCTTCCCCACAGCTGATGATCTTCAGAGACGGTCACCCGTTCTTCTGCTACTCACTAAGCAAGCTGTAGCTCTGGACAGAAGACCAGCCTGACACAAAGTTCTTTTCGGCCAATTGCTTGAGCTCTCCATACACACTAACCACATACTAGCACCGAAATACCGGTGTATGTCACAACGTAGTGAGCATGCTATCGCACGGGTGATCCGAGACAATAGCCATTAGTAATTTGTCCAAGGTTATTCTATGACTGGGTGGCGCCGAGGCTTGAACACGGTCCCTTTGAAGTACGTGCCGAACAATATAACCATTCAGCCATAGCGGCCTGTTGTCTGGAAAACCTGGATCTTCAGAGACTCATATCTCTGGAATGACAAATTACATATTGGGTTTCCAGTGTATTAATATATCGGCTATGGAAAATACGAAAATAGTAACCGTGATGAACGGGAATAGACCTTTTCAATAAAAAATGTGTCTTAAAACTAACAAAAAACACGCTTTAGTTGTTAAACATGGCTCTCAGCAGGCTTCGCAGAGAGGTCTTGGACAGCGAAGACTTCTTTTTCTGTAGTTTAGATGACGAGGAATTCAGTCCACCACTCGGAGTTTTGACGTTTTCTTCGTAGTGAAAACTGCATTTTAAAATGACCCATTTTTGAGTTTTTGCTTCATTTTGGAATGGGTGTAGTGAGGCAGGTGAGCCCTTTGGAGGGTGGGTCCAATGACATATATTGTTCATCATCATGTCTACTATATATCTTCAAAGCCGCAGCTCGATCGGTTCAGCGATCCCTGAGAAAATCGGCTAGCAAGAGCACCTTGAAATCCATGGAAAACGAATCTTTGTGAGCGAGCGGCGAACCCCGCAACAACGTTTAATTTCTTTTTAAATCTGATATTCCTGTTCAGAATTGAATTCGCTTTGGAATTAGCTGCTGACGTTATTAGCCTTCATTTTAGCTCAGTTGCAACTCATATGCTTTGTTTTTATCGATGTTACATACTGTAAGTGTCATGATAAACGAAAACTATTTTTTACAGCGTTGTGAGGTGTCTGCGACTGTCTATGCGTTGTCTGCAAGTGTCCGTAGGTGTCTGTGGATATCTGCAGGTGTCTGTAGGTTGATTTGGCTGTTTGGTTTATTTTCTGCGTATCTGTGTAATGTCTATGTAATTTCGTGGCTGTCTGTATAGTTGAATGTGTGTGGTTGTCTGTAGAAGTGGGTGTCTGCGAATACTTATGTGATGTCCGTGTACATGTGTGCGGTTGTCTGTGGATGTCTGTAAGTGTCTGTAGGGGTCTGTGGGTGTCTTCATGTTTTACTATTTCCCAGGAAGGATCCAATCAGAAACTCATAGAAATGTGAAGCATTTTCCAATGGGAAATTTTGAGAAACATTTTCCAGTGGGAAAATGGAAGAAACCTATAAGAAAAAGATTTGATCAGTAGTAAAGTTTTCGGAATGAAAATTCCCCATCCTTAAGACTCTTTCATTCAGTTGTTTCGGAACGGGAAGAGAGTGTTAACAAGAGAAAACACCTTGATATCGTTTGCTTTTTGGGGAAGTATCATGGAAAGGAAAAGAATACCCATGTCCTCGAAATCGCTTCGGTTTGGATGATTAATCGCGATTTTGCAAAATATTAACGATTAATCGCGATTTCGAGAAAAAATCGCCGATTAATGGCGATTAATTGGTAATTTTTCCACAAACCACGATTTATCAGCATTATCAAAAATATCGCCCGTTAATCGCAGTTAATCGGCGATTTTGTTATATTGACGCTAAATTACGGCTAAATCAGTTATTTACTTAACTTAATATTTTTCTACTCAGAGAAAGAGAAAATTAGGTGTCGTATGCTACAGCATAGAAGTTTCAGCCTCATATTTTACTGACTGATAAGTCAGCTAAAAAATCGGCAAACGGGTCGATTTTAGCGCGATAAAGCGCACAATTAATCGGTCCGTAAATCGCGATAAAATCGTCGATTTTTGCACGATTTTCATCACATGGGTAGTTTCTCTACGAGGCTCTTTTCTTCTGTTTTCTCACTCGGAAACAACTGAATGAAAGACTTTTAAGGATGGGAAATTTCCATTCCGAGAAAACGACAAATGACAATTCATCATTCGACGAGAAATTTACTACTGATCAATCAGAAACTCATAGAAATGTTAAGCATTTTCCAATGGGAAATTGTGAGAAACATTGTTGCAGTGGGAAAATGGAAGAAACCTATAAGAAAAAGATTTGATCAGTAGTAAAGTTTTCGTCGAATGATTAATTGTCATTTGTCATTTTGTCGGAATGGAAATTCCCCATCCTTTAAAGTCTTTCATTCAGTTGTTTCTCAACGGAAAAAGAGTGTTAACAACGGAAAACACCTTGAGATCGTTTGCTTTTTGTGGAAGTATCATGGAAGGAAAAAGAATAGTTTCTCTATGAGCCTCTTTCCTTCTATTTTCTCATTTCTTTTTAAAAGAACGAGCGTCTTATATAAGGATAGGATTTTATGCTCTTTTGTTACAAAACTTTATTTCAAGACTTAAGCGACATAAGATCATTGTATCAGTTCGAGCGAAATTAAAAAGGTAAAACGTTTTCTGTTAGCTGGACAGAAAAGAGAAAACGGTATAAATAGGCAAGATCGTTACAGTGTAAAAGAACCTTTGAATGTTAAAATATGAACTTTGGGGCTCGTACGTATACGTACATAACTAAGTACATATGGTACTTCCAGTTAACGGTCAAAAGCGCACATGTGACATCAGAATTCTATTGGACTAGCGTTGAACCCTTTGACCTCCATCATCTCACGGAGGTTTATCTATGTTTTTTTCTCACTTTCAGCAACTATGAAATTTATCATCGGACTAATATCTCTGTGCCTATCCTGTTATATTAATCAGTGTAATGCTGCAACCTGTAATTGTCAATGTTGCATTTTTGATCCTGTTACTTATTCTTGCACACTAGCAAGCCAGACGCCGGTTACTGTTTCAGCTTGTTCATCATGCACAACCATTATATGTACACAAACATATCCATCAAATTGCCCAAGTATTAACAGCCAAATATTAAGTTCGTGTAATAGTGCTGCTGGCAGTGTTACTAGTACTACTGCTAGTACTACTAGTAGTCCTAGTGCTAGTACTACTAGTAGTCCTAGTGCTAGTACTACTAGTAGTCCTAGTGCTAGTAGTACTAGGAGTACTAGTACTGCCGCCCTTTCAAACAGCTTGAACATCAAACATATTCTTGTTATTACAACAATTGGCTCAATAATAATGCAGCAGCGTTATGCATCTAAAGTCTAAGTACAACAAAACATTGAATAAACTACATAACATAACAATCAAGTTGCGTTTATTTTTAAGTGCTTAGTGTGCTTGGTTCTTTCTTTTTGTTCGTATGTATTTGGAAATAAATCGCTTGATGATAAGAGAAAACTATTTTTTATAGCGTTGTAGTTGTCTACAACAAGTATGAAATGGACCCACAATGCACAGATCAATCGTATAGTCGTATCACCATCCACGTCATCAAACCTTATTGTCATTTTCCTCATTTGTTCTTGAGATTCTTTTGCAAATTTTAACCAAATTTTATCGGTTCTTTTAGTTTTCCTTTATTAAAGTTCTAAACCAAAAACCAGATTCGAACTTCTATACCTTTGAACAAGCAGAGATTATTAAAATCTGTCCAACAAAGGCTCACTAGAAAACAAAATTAGAGCGCGTTAATGGCAGTATCAGACACAGCCATAGCATAAACAAACGAAGGTATTCTTCTTCTTTATACGTCCGTAC